TAGCTATTATATATTAATTATGCTTATAAGACAGGTGAACTCATGAGTTCCAGGGAAGGTGCTGAATCAGCAACCTACTGGCCTACACTGTCCTACTCAGCACTATTACCAAATCGGCATAGTTTTACTTATCTAGCTACCTGTGATTGCATTCTATTGGTCTGCAACTGCGGGTAGAAAACCAGCTAAATATGACATCCTTGAGATTTTCGTGGTCCTGGTTAATAATTGCCAGAATTTAAAAACTACGTAAGACTAAAGACTACATCTACTAAAGTAACATAATTAAAAATGTACTAAATTAATATTTTTTTTTAAATAATAAAATTTGTTTATTCAGTGAAAAAATACAGGCTCTCATATGAGTGCAAATAAAAAAGAAACATTCTAAAACGCAACATAGTTAGTTATGGTGCTCTATCAGAAAGAACAGTTCTTTATTGGTTTGTTTGTTTTTTTTCTTCTTCCTAATTTGGTTTATTGGCTTTTTTCTTCAAGGATGATTAACCAGCTCATTCAGTTTTGAAGTAGGTACATAAGTATATTTTAATTTTTAACATACACTCACCTGCAAAAAAACGGCACCAGAAACTGGCCACAATTTTAATGTTGATTTCCTCGCGAACCGCTATCTGTTTTTAATGATTTTTTATTTGAATTGTAGGCTGACTCTTCAGTTACGATGCTATGATAGACAGTTTTATTCAGGATTTAGTTGTGACACCCTGTAGTCTTATTTTTTCTAAACACTTTGTTTTTTTTATTCACGTTATAACGTATATATTATCTCTCTTTTTATAGTTAATAGTAAATATGATCTTGAGCAAAAACAGGTCGATTTAGATATCGAGGGAAAGTATAAATCCAGTGTTAAACAAAATTATGTTGCACCCTCTTCAGCTACCCTAACTAAAATATTTTAAATGGCACCCTATACCTTGCGACACATCATTTTAAAGGAAATGCAATTTCTGATCCATTAAAGTTTAAACCCGATCACGAATTTGCGAATTAGAGCCAAAAAAGGTGTGATATAAATAAAACAAAGAATTCCATAAAAAAGCAGAGTTGTTACACGTTTTAGTTAAAATATTTGTATTGATTTATCAAACATTAGAAAAATGGTGTACCTATACTTAAGCAGAAAGAACCGAATTAATTTTTATTTACGGATTTGATTTGATTTAATTTGATTCTTGTGTTCGTACAACAAAACGCGTGCGTTTTTAATGAGAGGCATTCTGCCTATAGGCCATCAATACATCAGTAACCTGGTCAAAAAAATTAAGGGAAACTGGTTCAGTGTGCTACAGAAAATACACAAGATCGAGTGTACTGGATGAAGCTTCACAAATTGCAGTTCTCGGTCATTTTGCTGTGGGATTCACATCCATTTCAAAAGTAGCTGCTTTAACAAATATTTTTGTTGGTCCGGTGCTTAAAATAGATAAATAAATAAAGTAAAATAAAATTCAAATGTGCTACAGCAACTTAGCGAAGATGAATACAATTTTGAGAGGCAATGACGCAAAGAATTTCGGTTCTCCCAATTTATAAAAAAATATTTGTTTCAGCGATAAATTTTTTTTTCTAAATGGATTTGTAAATAAAACAATTGTAGGAACTGGGACAATGAAAATTCAAAAGAACCGTACTCAGTATCCTCAAAAATCATGGGCTGGTATTCTAGGCTACAAAATAATTGGACCGTTTTTTATCGAAGAAAACTTGAATGGACAAATATATCTTCTTAAAATGTTATAGACTCACTTATTAGTAATAAGTTATTACCCAGGCATTCGAAAATCAGATGGACGAACAAGGAAACATGTTGCTTTGTAATTTCAACAAGCTTCATCCTCCTCACTATGCTTTACCAGTCTAAGAATGGTTGAACCAAAGGTTTTCCAAGAAATGGATTCATAAAAGAGGTGATCAAGAATGGCCGGCAAGTTCTCCAGATTTAACGCTACTTGATTTTTTTCTTTGGGGTCATTTAAAAACACAAGTCTACAAAACAGAATTGTTTTTTGGCTCTTGTTTAACACTGGATTTGTACTTCCCCCTCTATAGCTAAATCTACCTGTTTTGCTTAGGATCATATTTGCTATAACTCAAAAGTTATTAAGGATGGCTAGTTTTTAATGAAAAGCTCTGTTTAAGCAATATAGGTACTTTGCTGGAAAACTAAAAATGTATCACCAAACAGTTTTTAACCATTTGCATAAGGATATATACTTACAAAAACAAGCTTGATGTTTGGGTGCAACATGATATACCTAGGTATACCTACCTATAGGTACCTAGTATACTCGTATACGGCTAGTCTACAGTCTATAATAGGCTAGACCTTTAACCACAAAAAATACATACATTGGATTATAATTATTTTTAAAGAAAGAAGACAAAATTGGCTTGACTCTGATAAAAAGATACCTAACCTAAATTATTTGAATTAATCCAAGATTACACTGTGCAACACCAAAAATCAAACCGCACCGGACTATTTTTTTCTGAAAATATACCTATCCAATAGCAAAACCTTCGCTGGGTTTGTAAAAGTTAGCTCGATTTATTTTTTTATGGCCGTTTGTATTTTCTAGCTTCATATACCCCAATTGAGACTTATTAATCGATTTTTTCGCATATATTCGATTTATATCGTCAAGATTTTTTGTAGAAATGTAGTTACTGAACAAATAAACCCATTTTGTGAACAACCTATATCCCAAAACCCAATTTTTGGGACCAAAAATTCGAAAAATAATTTTTTTTTCATATTTTTCGATATTATTTAAAATTTCTTGCTACTTCTTCTGGCAAAAATGTTGTAAAGTATACTAAAAGAAGTAATTTATAAAATACGCACACAAAACTGAACTTTAAGTTTATTTATTTGCTGGAAAACAATTTTTAAACAAGATTTTCCAAAATATTCATCTTTTCATACCCAACACCAATCTTTTTGCGAAATCTTTGGAAAATCTGTAGAAAAAAATTGAATAGATAAAATAGAATTGTAGAAAAGTACAGAGAGTAAGATTTTTTATTTTGTATTAATTTAATTATTAAAAATTTTTTTATATCAAAACATTGAGTAATCTGATTCATTGCTGGAGAATTCCATACCTTCCACTTCTTCTCCTTTATTTTCTTGTTCTTCATTTTCATGTTTTGATTCAACAATGGATAATTCCATCCCTTCATTTCATATATTTTTATATTCATTTCATTTCAGAAGACTTTGACAGGTTGACAATGAGATAGTTGCGTGGGCGTCGATAAGAGAAATCATCGTTGGATTTTTAGGCAAACATCGTTCTCCCAATTATGAAGGATCTGTGCGACGAATGTTGGATGTTTTTTCCAAAATTGGAGTCAATATGTCGCTAAAAATTCATTTCCCTCATCGCCATTTGGACTACTTCAGTCGACAGTTATCGACACAATCATCAAACTGCGATGCCATTTGAGTGCAGATAAAGAGGAAAACGAGCTCCAGATTCCATACTAGCCGAAACATTTTGGTGAAGTAAACATATTTTTGACTACGATCAGAAAGAAAATGAAAATGAAGAACAAGAAAATAAAGGAGAAGAAGTGGAAGGGATGAAATTCTCCAGTGATGAATCAAAAAATGAAAATGAAGAGCAAGGAAATAAAGGAGAAGAAGTGGAAGGGATGGAATTCTTCAGCAATGAATCAGATTACTCAATGTTTTGATATAAAAAAGTTTTTTAATAATAAAATTAATACAAAATAAAAAATCAAACTCTCTGTACTTTTCTACAATTCTATTTTATCTATTCAATTTTTTCCTACAGATTTTTCGGCAAAATATTTGGTGTTGAGTGTGAAAAGATGAATATTTTGGAAAATCTTGTTTAAAAATTGTTTTCCAGCAAATAAGTAAACTTAAAGTTCAGTTTTGTGTGCGTATTTCATAAATTACTTCTTTTAGTATACTTTACAACATTTTTGCCAGAAGAAGTAGCAAGAAATTTTAAATAATATCGAAAAATATGAAAAAAAAAATATTTTTCGAATTTTTGGTCCCAAAAATTGGGTTTTGGGATATAGGTTGTTCACAAAATGGGTTTATTTGTTCAGTAACTACATTTCTACAAAAAATCTTGACGATATAAATCGAATATATGCGAAAAAAATCGATTTATAGGTCTAAATTGGGTTATATGAAGCTCGAAAATACAAACGGCCATAAAAAAATAAATCGAGCTAACTTTTACAAACCCAGCGAGGGTTTTGCTATTGGATAGGTATATTTTCAGAAAAAAATGGTCCGGTGCGGTTTGATTTCGATGACCCGAAAATTGTCGCACAGTGTTATCTTACCAAAGGTTAATTTAGTTTCTATTTTTTTCTGTGGATAATTCTGAAAATCGTAGTTGTAATTTGTATATTATTTTTACAGAATTCTATTTTTTTAAATAAGGTTTTTAAGGTACCTATACCTATTTTTAGTTTTGTAAAAATATGTACCTATATTATAGCAAACACTGGCAAAAAATTGGTTCAATATATAAGTACAATTAATTCAATTCAAATTCGATGTTGTTCAAATAATTAAATTTGCATAACTTTCCTATTGCCTGTGCCCCAGTTTCTAATTCTAAAAAATAATAAACTTAATTGAGACTTTCTTTACGAATACAAATATATTTTTATGTAAAATCTATAAATAAACTTAATGTTGAAATCAAAAATTATTAAAACAAATTTTGCAAATTATTTGCATTTGAGCAGCCAAAAAATGCATGTTTACATTAACCAGTTCGTTGAGGAATAAAAAACGCGCTCGGATTTCCAGGTAGTAATTTAGCGTTAAAAATCGCAGCAAGGAAAAAAAACTGGTGCAACAAGTAGTCAGTAGGCATCGACGAGGGGATGTGAGCGCCGCTCACTGAGCGGGAGTAAAGCACACGCTTCGAGGCGGCGCTTTTAGCCGGGAGGGGATTCGAGGGAACCCATGCATCCCCACCTCCGCTCGTTGCCGCGCGATTTAACAAGGAAATTTTAATTTTCGATCGGCGCGCACAGGAGCTGCCGACGGAATTCGATCAGCACCACGCTCGAATATTTTGTGTGTATTATACGTACTACGACTTTGCCTGTGTTTGTAAATAATAAGTTTTGCGCTCGTAAATCTCGTATAATGTGCTTGTGAGACTTTTGCCTGTGTGACCTGTGCGATTGTTGACTTTATTTTTTCGAATTTATGGGATTATTAGCACTGGCCGACATGAACCAGCAACAGCTTCCTGATATTTTGAATTTCGCGGGAAGGCCTACCATGCACTCCGGACATGTTCTCTCACAAGTAAGTTAACCTTTTCAATATCATCTATGAAATCGTAAACATAAGTGTCCACTTACTATTGGTTGTGGTACATTGCAAGCGAATAAAATTAATTTTTAACAAGTAAACATTAATTGAAGTTAAAAAAGTCCCTCCAAGTTATTTCTTTGGGTTTACCTACCTAGATTGAAAGTTTTTATAAATAGAGAAGAACTATGTTAGATCAGCCTAAAGACAATATTTTACGAGAAAAAAAAACGGGAATTGTTACCTACCCAGGACAATTTTTAAATTAAATTAATAAATAAACTTTAAAATAAAATGGAAAATTAAAATTGCTATGTATAATTCATACCTATATGTATATAGATTAGATGTAGGTTTACCTAATATTATATTAGATATAAGTGTTTTTAACATCCAGTAAAATTGTAGTGCAGAGTGAGAACTATAGATCAGCAATATTTTAAGAGAACATATTTTACGAGAAAAAAACGCTTTGCTGAATAGGAAAAGCCTCAGAAATTGTTTACAGTTTTTAAAATAAATTATCAAAAAGTTTTTATTATTTAGGTAGGTATATCTACCTCCTAAAAACTTTTAAATGAAATGCACAATTAAAATCGTAATCGTAAATAATACTTTTATTATAATTATAGGTACCTAATATTAAATTTTAACATCTCGGGAAATCATAGTGCACACCCTCCATAAAACAAAAAATAAATAAATATTGGCTTATAAATATTTATTTAATTACTTACATACCTACTTTGGAAATAGATTTTGTTGATGCACCGACTCTTAAATGTAAACAACTTTTTATGATTTCTATGAAAATGCAATGCTAGTTTTTTCTTTGATTGTACTTATTAAGGTTTTTATTATTGAATTGATAAAATTTAATTCATTTAATTACATTGCATTAATAATACCTATATATATAATAATAATATGATAATTAAAATTGATGATGTATTGCCTTCCAACATGGTTAAACCAAAATTTGTTGGATAATTAAGAAAGGTAATTATTATTTTAAATTTGAATAATTAAATCCTTTATGCGTGTATACGACCACCTATAGTCAGAAAAAAAAAAATCGGATTTTGGTAAAAAAAAATGAGTAAAATGAAACTATAGAGATCATAAGCTTGTTGGGATTTCTAAAAAATCTTAAAATTGAAAATTGAAGTTGTAACAGACATTTCAGAATTAAAGTGTTAATTTTCTACTTTATTATGATGGTCTAAGAAAAATAAATAAAATAGTGTAGGTATACAATAACAATTTAATGTACTATTATCCATGGATGTCCCCTAATAGTCCATTAAATTGTGCATTAATTACGTGAGGCATTTTTCTGATAATTTAGACCCCCCCTTGGTGAGATTTGGTAAACCCTCATTTGAGATTCTAGCCATTAAACTTTCTTTGCGGACAACATGATAACCCCCAAAAAAGTAAAAAAAATATTTATTTTTTTAAACAAATTTGAATTATAATACATATTCTTTAAACTCAAAACGTCAGATTTTAAATAACCACCCCACCCTTAAAATCAGATTTGGTGAGATTTTGCTAGACCCCTCCTATCTCACGTCCTATAGGACATGAGATTATGACATTCGGCTTTGGCTCATGTCATAATTTCCATGCTCATGTCTTAATGGCCATCTATAAATGGTCGTTGCTTAATATATAAATATAGGTACTGTTTTCTAGTGCTACCTTTAAAACTTACATTATAGTATTATGTAGATACTTATCAATGTGTATTTAAATTAAATAATTTAATTAAAATATCCTTAGCGTCATGGCAACATATTATATTTTCATGACGATAAGTGCTTCTTTAAATACACATTGATAAGCTGTGATTTTATGGCGTTTTAGTCAAGGGTTAAAATTAGCAACTGTAGTGGCCATGTCATACAATTATCAATATAAAGCGACTAGAAAGTGAGGTTTGGAACAGTCTGACAGATGTCAGATTTTATTTATTTTTAAAAATTATTTGTTTTTTTTGTTCGCACTAGAAAAAGTATATTATGCAACTTCTCTATACACTCGCTCGCAAGCTTCGCTCGTGCCTAATTAAATCTTGTGAGTCACAAGTTACTTTAAAAAGTATCTTAGTTACCTACTTATATGTAGATACTTTCTGTCCAATATAAAAAGTATCTAAGATAAAGTATCTTAGATACTTTAATAGTGTTGCAAACAAGGAAAAGTTCGGTCGAAAAGTTGGAAAAGTTGTTGGAAAAGTTCGGCACCCCCTATAAAAAGTTGGAAAAGTTGGAAAAGTTATTAGGTAGGAGCCAATGAACAATGAGTTGACTTGTAACCAGTGTTTCCACTACCATAATTTTTTTTCGGTAGATAATTTGGTCAAAATTCGATATAAATCGCTAGATTTGAAGTGTTTTTGGTAAAACGTGCTAAAATCATTGTTTTTTGGAATAACATTCTGTCAAACTTTATCAAAAATGGTGTCTGCTAACAGCATTTTCTATTATATAAAGATTGTTTTTCTTTTTAAATTTTTACTTGTAAATTTCCATAATTTTTAACAACAATAAATTTAATAATTTTTGCTTCATATTTTTTTGTAATTATTTTTTATTTCGTATGTGTTTTTTATGGTGTGTATAAATTTCTATTCTTTTTTACTTAAAAAATATGATTTTTTTAACTCAAACCTAGTTTATTTTTGTTGTGATTATGTTGTCTGTTCATTTTATTTTGTTTGTTATTTTTTTTTGTTATTTTGTTATAAAACAACTTAAGTAAGTATGTATAAATACATAAGAAATAAATTATTTTAATACATTGCCAAGCATTATTTATGTTTTATACGTTTACATTACAAAAAACTCAACTTTTCCATCTTTTCCAACTTTTCCGAAAAATAAAATCCAACTTTTCAAAAATTTCAACTTTTCATGAAAAGTTGCAACCCTATACTTTAAGTATTTAAGTTACTTTTAAGTATCTTTTTTTTCAAGATACTCCCAGCTCTGGGTAATCACTACGAAAATGCACGAATTTTGTTTTAACCCTTGGTTTTTTATGTTTAGGTCAAATTCATTTTTGATATAAAGTCAACATCCTCCAAGTTGATTTGTTATTTAGCATGTTGAAATGTTTAAAGTAGAGGAAGTTAACATTAGAGAAAGTAATGTACCTACCTATTTAAAAGTACCTACCTAATTAAAATGAGTTAATAAAAAAAAAGCTCGCACACATCTATTTTTAATTTTAAGGGGACAATTTATTTTAATATATTCAACCCCACACCAACCCCTAGCGGGGATGATGGTTACCCCTACAATTTTAAAGGGAAGAGGGGTCGAGTAATCACTTATTTTAAAGGCCTTTCAAATCTCTACATTTTGGTTGGTTCCTTTTCGAGATGTTTGAGAAAAACTTTATTTTTAATTTATTTTCATCTTAAATATAAATTTTGGCACTCGCAGTTTTAAGTACAATTTTGCCAAATTTTATTTAATTGCGTTAAAATTTTAACACAATTTTGTTAATTTCATTAATATCCTACAAAAATTATTCGCGTAAGATCACTTTGACAATAATTGTCGAATTTTTGCCAACAAAGCGTTACTATTTCGTTAAAAATTGGTTTATTTAAGGGACAAACTTTATTAATGTGCACATTAATATATGTATAATTTATTTATTTTTAATTAATGTATTTAAAAATTGAAAAAAAAAACAATTATGGAGCAAACATGCAAAAGCCGATAAATCCACTAACTTATTCTGAGGTATTGACTAAAAATGTGTAGGTGCAGCCGAGTCTCCCAAATATTTATAAACTATTAAAAGGGAATGTTGATTCTGTTTGGTCTCTGTTTCGGTTCTTCCTTAAAATGCTGTGCCAAGTAAAAAGAGTTTACCAAAATTAGTAAGAATCGGTACTATACTCTTAAAATGTAAAAATGGATTTATCGGTTTTTGTATGTTTGCTCCACAATTAAACAATTGCCAATCAAGCAAAATTGTTGGCTCCCCTGTGGCAAACAATTTTTTTTTATTTTGTCGTATTACCGTTGAGTTTCTCAATCAACGGTGTTACAGAGCCTACACTGAACGAAAAAGGTACGTGATATTAATAAAAAAGGACATAAAATCAATGAACGACAACATTAATTTTCAGCCGATGACGGGTGTTATTAATACAATGAACAGTCGTTCGTAAATTTTCTTATTCATCAAGTTACGATTTCTGTACGATAAATCAATGAATGAGGAGCATGGATCTATGTTTGACTGTAATTAATACGATAAACAGGTTTACATCAGTTTATAAATGCTGTACGTTAAATTAATAATCTATGAGCATGGATCTATGAACAGCGGTTGTTAATATAACGACCGTTGGACATAGGTTTATGATTAATACGTTAAATCAATAAACAACGTACATAGATATATGAAAGCATGTTATTATTATTATAAACGGTAGACATTAGTTTATGATTATTTTACATTGAATCAATAAACAGTTACCATAGATCTATGATCCCCTATAGTATTAATACTACGAACAAAAAGGCATTAGTTTATGATTTACTTAAATTTACATAAAATCCAATTAAAATTATTTACCAAATTTACTTACCTTTTTATTTAAAATAAAGGTTTACTAGGTGGGTGGGTGCATTTTTTTAGCAACATAGAAATAGGAAAAAAATATCTTATACAAATTACCCAGCAAAAGGGGTTTCTTTAAAATAAAGACGTTTTTGGCGAATACATTTTTTATTGCACGAGAAATTTACAAATAATATGAACCTTTGGGCTCTAAAGAGGTTTACAAAATGCTCCATCTAAAAAGTTCCAAAACATGCTTTCCTGTAAAAAGTCAAGCTTAAATATATAAATAATTTTAAAACATTTATCGACCGCCTTAATTACATGAAATCCTAAATTATTTTATTTAAAATATTAAAAGTGTATATTTTAAAAACTAAAAACTCATTCACTTAATACTTAAAAAT